AGAAAGAGCCAGGGAGTAAGTGGTCCATGGCAATGTTCCCTCCAGGGCAGGGCTAGTTTCTCATTCTAGATCTAGAGTAAATAACCAAGGTAATTCACTGGTAGAGGAAAGAGCTGTTGTTTATGTTAAAAAAACCAAAAATGACACTTGCATATGGATTCATTCAACAAGGCATATGGGGGACAGATTCCAGAAGTGGACATACGTTCCCAATAATAAGAAGAAATGCAAAAGGAAATTCACATTATACTGGAAGATGGGATCAGAAAATGAGACCATATGAAGACTAAGCAGAAGAAAGCTTCAGCGCCAGACAGGAAACAGGGGAGATACATTCCCTCCTTTCCAGACTCGTTGTAACCACTCAATACATTGTCAAAATGTGCAGAAAAAGACCAAGAGTCTGCCTGGAAACCATACTGGGTGTGCTGGTCAGACACAGGCTGACGGAGCACCTGGAATGCTCACATTTCATTAGGCTGGGTTCTTGAAAGGGAAATCACACCTAACAAATCTAATGGCATTTTGTTGGAGGGAAAGCAGCAAAGAATTGCAAGGGAAAGCAGCTGTGGATACAATTTAACTCAGCTTTAGGAAAGGGTTGGTTGATAGGAGAATTGTACAAAGAACTAATCAGAAAGTCATAAATACAGCACATTGCATTGCATTAAAGAGCTTATACACTTGTATGTTAGGGATGTAAAATTCTGTTTAATTAGGCAACCAGTTGCTGCCGTCCCCATTGGTTAACCATTCACATCCTTATTATATATAATTGTTCATAATTAGTGCTGTGGATGAATCAAATCATCATCAAAACACCCGTATCTTCATCATATGAGTGGGGACTTCTTTTTACCAGACTCTGCTAACAAGGAAGCTGTAGCATCGTTGTAGTAAAATAAACACATACTCCTCATAACAAACTATTCACCAAAGCTAGAAATATTTTCTGTTCATGAATTATCAGCAAGTTTGTATGAACATTTGTTTAAAATGTTCAGCCAAAAAGATGAAGTGAATGTCTTTCTGCTTGTGGATTGCTCATGAACCGTTTGCTGGGCCCATTGCTTAATAGTCACTATTTGTTCTGTATGATTGGTCGCTTAAAAAGTTTGGTATTGTGTCTGCTCTCCCAAATCACAAAGAGCTTTCACAATGGCTACACAAACAGTTCTGTAGTACAGACACCTATCGGTGTTGTTAGATGTATGTTACATCTCTACGTTTGTTGGAATAACGAATATCCAAAGCAATATCTCAGAGTATTCTTTGTGAGTAATCTGTAAGTAATCATACTTCTCTGTTAGAAAACGTCAACCTCTCACCCACATCTGGCTGTGTGCAGATAATTCATGGAGGGAAAACATTGCTAATGTTTTGTTGAACAAATTGTAATGAAGAGTTCATCTAGTTCAAGCAGATGTCGAGACTGTGTGTGACCTAGAGGATTTTAGGGGCAGTGAGGTCTTATTCAAACTAGGGCTGACTTTCAAAATCTCTCCATTTTTAGTTATTTAAAAAAGATTTTACATGCAATGCAGGATTTGAGACCTTGAAAATTCTGGACTGTGGCGATTAACATTTTACCTCTTATAAGCCCCAAATCTTGTCTGTTTAAGTCTCCATGGTAGAGTAGTTTCCTGAGCAACTACCTGTGAGGTTACTTACTGTGTTAGTTTCCCCATGTGCTGCAGTCCAGCACCTGGTTAATCAATGAGACCATCTCTCTGAAGATTTCACGGTACACATGTCAGACAGGAACACATGTTGCCTCTCGCTGCGCCGAGCCGCACGTGTGTCAGCAAATCAGCATGATGGAGCATGATGGAGCCAGGAGAGCACTTTGCTCTGACATGTGGAACCGGACCAGCAGTCAGAGGGCACATTTTAGAGGTGCGCACAGTGAGTTCATCACTGAATCAGAAAGCAAAGAATTTGCTATTGAAGGCACAAAGGGAGCAGATGTGTGGGGATATTTGGAGAAGCATCCAAAACTGAATGAGCAAGGAGTGGCACCAACAAAATTCTGGATGGGGGGCAAATTTGTGCAGCGTCCTTGCTTCGGTCGCCCTGTTGAGGCGACAGCTGCTGACGGGGGGTTAGCAGGCCAGCCCTGTCCAGGGAATGGGGTGGGAGTTTGGGGGGTATCTCCCTGACAGCATCAATGTCTGGCTCAGTCCATGCTAAGCTTTTCCCAGGCATGGGCGGTGGGTGAACGTATGGCTGTGCAAGGCTATGGAAGTGTTTAGAAGAGGAAGTGAAGAAGAAATTGGTATCCCACTGAAACGGCACGGGGCATTTCAGGAGTATTCATACCCGCGCTGGGGCTTTGGCTTGGATGCTGAGTTTTTAATAGTGAAGGTGCCGCCTGCCATGAATAAGGGCCATGTGCTGCCATCTCTGCTTGGGAGGAGATGCAGAACAGCAGGACTTGTGGAGGGCTATGCACATCTCATTCATTTGACCTCACGCTCCGCAGTGGAATGCCCTCAAGCCATTTTGATGTCAGAAATCTGCAGCCCTGCTGTTATGCACAGAATTCAGGAAGTTTACAGAAGATAGAGAGAGCTACTTGCTGTCATCGGCTGGGAGTTCAATGCGATGGTTTCTGTTACAGTGCAGATGGACCTTGTCCAAGGGAACAACTGGCTTTTATAAACCCTGGGCCTTCATAAAAATGCCCCTTTGGATTCTCACTCTTTGACTGTAATTACATTGGATGAGCTACAACTTGGAGCAAAACATGTTTCAGATCAAGCTGATTTTAATGGCCCTGTTGGTAACAAAATGTTGTTTATGGGATTATGCCACAGGATATGTTCCTTTCCGTATGTTTGCTCGGCAGAACTCCCTTAGTTCATGGACAGCTGCGTCTGGAGAGGTGCTGAGGATCTGCACATTCTGGATGCTCAGGCTCTCTCAGAATTTGGCCCTTATCAGCTGCATCTAAATAATAATACTTTGCCCTTTCCTATCTGTCATCTAAGTATCTCAAAGCATTTTACAGGTCAGGATTATTGTTCTCAATTTGCCAACAGAGGCCTTGTCTGCACTAAAAGGAAGAGCGCCGCTGCTGTGATCGATCTTCTGGGGTTCGATTTAGCAAGTCTAGTTAAGGCTTGCTAAATCAAACTCAGAGGGTGCCCTCACTGGCATCTGGTGGTACTCCTTTCATGAGAAGGAAGGGAAGCCGACAGGACCGTTTGCTCCGGTAGCCTCCCACTGTGGGGACACCATCGGACTTGGCTTCAAGTAAGCCATACCATGATCCGAGCTGCCGGGTCTAGTGTAAACGTGACCAGAAAAACTAAAATTCTGAGAGGTGAAGCAACTTGTCCGATGACAGTTCCAACAACAGTACCATGAGTAAACCGTTTCTGATTCTAAGCCACGTGCTTTCTCCGCTGGAGTTTAATGCCCCATAAAAGCCGATATGCACCAACGACACTTGAGAGATGAGCCAAAGGGCTTGTTTCTCTCTCTGTGGGCAGCCATCACATTGCTGGGAAACAAAAGGCTTTTTAATGGCAAAGTGACAAGTGTAAGGTTTTCTGTTTTCCCCACCACAGCCCCTGGGGGCAGGGTAAGGCATGCAGTTCCTGGTTGCTGCTTTTGGCATTAGTGATGTCAACCATTAGTGATGCAGGAGCAGCACAGAAAGAACCCAGGACTATAAGGCTACATCTAGACTGCAGGCTTTTTGTGCAAGAAGCTTTTGTTGGAAGAGATCTTCTGCAAAAACTTCTTTCACAAGAGCGCATCCACACTGCAAAAGCGCATAGAAAAAGCGATGGGCTTTTGTGGAAGAGAGCGTCCAGACTGCAAGGACGCTCTCTTGAAAGTAAGCACTGGTTGGTATGCACAGAATGGCCACCAGGGCACCTGTGCTTTTTCCTCTTTCCTCTTTTTGCGCAAAAAAACCCTCTTCCACATCCACACACGCCTTTCGATTCTCTTGTGCAAAAACACGTGTGAGGTGTGGACGCGCCGCGAGTTTTTGCAGAATCATAGAGATATAGAATCATAGGACTGGAAGGGACCTCGAGAGGTCATCGAGTCCAGCCCCCCGCCCTCAAGGCAGGATCAAGCTCTGTCTACACCATCCCTGACAGATGTCTATCTAACCTGTTCTTAAATATCTCCAGAGAGGGAGATTCCACCACCTCCCTTGGCAATTTATTCCAATATTTGACCACCCTGACAGTTAGGAATTTTTTCCTAATGTCCAATCTAAACCTCCCTTGCTGCACTTTAAGCCCATTACTCCTTGTCCTGTCCTCAGTAACCAAGAGGAACAAATTTTCTCCTTCTTCCTTGTGACACCCTTTTAGATATTTGAAAACTGCTATCATGTCCCCCCTTAATCTTCTTTTTTCCAAACTAAACAAGCCCAGTTCATGAAGCCTGGCTTCATAGGTCATGTTCTCTAGACCTTTAATCATTCTTGTCGCTCTTCTCTGCACCCTTTCCAATTTCTCCACATCTTTCTTGAAATGTGGCGCCCAGAACTGGACACAGTACTCCAGCTGAGGCCTAACTAGTGCAGAGTAGAGCGGCAGAATGACTTCACAAGTTTTGCTTACAACACACCTGTTGATACAACCTAGAATCATATTTGCTTTTTTTGCAACAGCATCACACTGTTGACTCATATTCAACTTGTGGTCCACAGTGACCCCTAGATCCCTTCATGAAGCTTTGGAAGGCTGGAGTTTAAAACCTCACACACATATCAGTTTGGGTAAACGCTTCAAATACATACGCTGCCATGAGGTACGATACGCTTCACCTCCTGTCCTCAATTGCTGGGGCCGTGCTCTGTGTGATATTAAACTACGGCTCTTCTTTAATCCGGAGGGGGTGCGTGGGTTGTACATTGGTTGGGTATCTACTGAAGATTGCCAAACCGCTTTGGGGAGCTGTGGGGATGAACGGGCCTTTCAGTTATTTGGATGGCTGTGCAATTATGATCTTACGGTGTTTCCCTCCCCTTTCAGCTGTCTGCAATTACGGCGTGTGTTTCAATGGAGGACACTGCATGGAAGGATCTTCTCAGCTCTGTCACTGTCCCTTTGGGTTCCAAGGACCCCGCTGTCAGTATGGTAAGCAACCTGCCAGCCCCTTACCTTCAGCCTTACTCTGAATTGAAAGCCAGGGGCACAAGCAATGACAGATGTTTCCCCTGATGTTTTGTTCCTGCCCCAGTATCCTTTTTATCTTTTGCAAGCTGCGGTTTTATCTGCAGAGTGCCATTAATTTGCTCAACGCTTACTCTGGCTCCTGCGTGTGATGTTTTGGGAATGGGATATTTGGGAAGGAAATGCCTGTCATGCCTTGCTATGAATACATCCCAAGCGCTGCGTAATGTACAGTGGCCTTTATTCCTGGCCACCCCCAGTAGCAGTGGTTGGCTGGAGTCTGAGAAGGAAGCTGATTAACACGGGGTTGAATAAAGCACCCCGGGGTCATTTCCTGTGAACTGAGCTGCTAGCCATTGGACGCCATTGGAAAGTGGCAGGAATGGTTAAGCTATTTCCAGCCAGGGTTTCAGCCCATGTTTTCGCATGGAGATGTTGTTTAAACAGTGAGTGAGTCTACAACAGAAAGGACCAGCCAGAGCAGTTCTGTCTTCTCTCCGAGCTTATGGATTTTGAATTGTTAAACTCTCTGCAACTAGCTCCTTACACAATACACACACTCTGTCTTGAGTAGGTTAGTGAACTTCTTATATTACGCCATTCAGCATCTTCTTGTTCCTGAATATGCTGTTCTGCTGCTGGCGAGCTGGGCAGACGCTCAGAGCCGGGGCGGTTTGCTATATTCCTCAGTCCTTGTACTCGTTCCACTGCTGCAGAATAAATGAGCAGCGGAATACTGCACTTTGAAGAGGGTGAGGGGACAGGTTCCTCCCATTCTGGTGTACCAGAAAGCAGGTAATTACTTGCTCACCTGCAAGGTGGCCAGCGAGGTTTCAGCTGCTGAGTCAGCATGTTAGAGCCTATTTTTCATGCCACATCTGTTGTAAGGAACTTTAATGATTGTTACAGGTATCAATTAAGAAGTGCTTAAAAGGCCTTTAAGTCTCATTCAGATAATCCTGTTAAAGAAAAAAAAAAACACCCCTGGTTTGTGCTCATTCAGAAATACAATTGCATGTTCATCCAGAAAGTTTTTGCTGCTGTAAAAGTGTTTGTTCTCAGCGTTAGATTGTGTTTTCAACTGGCTCTGGAGCCAACCTGGGCAGGCCGGAGGAGGGGAATTGTTCTCTCCCAGAGAACCTGAGGCCACGTCTTCACTTGCTGTGCCAGAGATTGATCTTCTGGCATTTGATTTAGCAGGTGTAGTTAAGACCCACTAAATCGAATGCTGAGGGCAGCTCCAGTCAACACTGGCACTCCTGCTCCCATCAGCCTCCCTCTATGAAGACAGCGCCAAGCTTGGCTTAAGGGAAGCCGACTCCAGTTTCTTATTTCATGCAACTGGAGTTGTGAACCTTAACCCGACCTTCCAAGTCTAGCGTTGACCTGGCCTGAGTCTTCCTTTGGACTTGATGGGGCTGATGAACAGCAAGTGCACGCTGAGTTGGCTCGTGATCCTGTATTTAGTGCTCCCCCCATTTTCCTAGTGTAAAATACACCAGTTTCCCCAGTCATTGAAACAGGAATTTCTTTGAAGACCCAGCTGTGCCGGCAGCAACCATTTGGTGCTGCGATTTTGCTGAAGGGCATCTACCCCTGAATTATCTTCAGCCACAGAGGCTTCATTTGAAACCAAATGGTTTCTTGAACCTGGAGCTCACTGTGCTGTCCTGTTCAATGGGCTGCCGGCGGAGTTAGTAACCAGCTTTGAGCAGGCCTGCTGGCATACGGGGTCCAGCACCAACATACCCGCCAATGTTTCATTCTGTGCATGGGGCTGCTTGAAGCTGTCTGCACAGCCTCCTCTCTCTCGGCAGAGAAAACGAACCAACAAGCGGCTGGCTTCCTTACGCCTTGGTGAAAGAGAACAGAACCACTACACGTGGGTTGTGGCTTGGTACTTGCATTGGTGCGATACAAAGTGGGATGTTGTGGAAGTTCAGACACAAAAGTTTAACCAACTTTTCCCTTCTCCAAAGTGTCCCGCCAATGACTAGGAAACCTGTGTGAATCAAGCCTTTACAAAAATGGAGGGCAAGGTGCTAAGCAGGATTAAAATTCTGACCTCCCCGGAAGTAAATAGCAAAACTCCCATTGACTTCAGCAGAGCCTGTTCTTTATTGCTCTGCAAGCTGAGTTTTGGCACAGCCAACCATGGGGCAAACCTCCCTAATCTGCAGGATTTCAGTGTGTGATGATAATTCAGTTGGTGTTTTTTGAAATCTGCAATAGTACTGCAGATTGCACTGATACTTGTGATGTAGATGCTCCTCTGTTAGGTGCTAGACTGTGTCCGCTAGCTAATTTCACTTTGGGCTTATCTCCACTTGCTGGGAGATTGATGCTCTGGAGATCGATCTCCCAGGGTTTGACTTAGTGGGTCTAATAAAGACCTGATAAATCAACCACAGATTGTGCCCCTGTCGACTATGGTACTCCACCGGGTTGCAAAGAATAAGGGAAGTTGATGGCATGCAGAGGGACGCCATGGAAATTCAACCTAAGGTACACCAATTCCAGCGACACTATTTGTGTAGCTGAAGATGTGTATCTTAGGTTGACTTTCTCCCCTAGTACAGGCCTGGCCTTATCTTTTAAAATAGTAGTGGCTCACATTCACAACATAATAGAGGTGTTGTCTCCTATTACCCATTTGTTTTAGGCCATGTCTTCACTCTGGGAAGATCTATGCTACCACGATCAATCTTCCGGAGTTCAATTTAGTGGGTCTAGTAAAAAACTCAGAGGCCACTCTTGTTGGTGTCCAGTACTCCTGCGAGGACTAAGGGAAGCAGACAGGAATGTTTACTCCCATCAGCCTTCCACTGTGGGGACATTGGGGAAACTCGAATCAAGGTGCATCGACTCCAGCTACGTAATTAACATAGCTGGAGTTGCCTAACTTGATTTTGACCTTTCCCCTTTAATGTAGACCTGGCCTTTCTCATCCAGTCCTCGGCTTGAAGTTTCTCCCCCTTCCCCCCCCTTACTGAACCTCTTGAAGCTGTTGAAGGGGGTTGCAGTTTTGTGGTTTTCCTTGCCCTTTCAGGCCTTGACTCTGCAATCACATGACCCAGAGGGCTGAAAGACAGCCTTTGCCAGACCTTGGCATCATCTATTGCCTGCCCTGAACAACCCTTTGAGATTGCATCTCTCAACTGAAGATAAGCACCGGGCAGCATACGTTGAAAGGGCAAAGATAGCGAGTTTTGCCAAAGATGCCAGAATGCCTAGTCCGCACATGTCATCTCCTCATCTGATTTGTCACTCATCACAGCTGAACGTTCATTTTAATAATGAGCTGCATTCCAGGGCAGTTGGAGACACCATGAAATACACTGAAACATCCAGAATGACTCTGCACATAGTTCAGAGCAAAAGCTTTAACCGTTTGCCTGGCTGTTTGAAGTAGCGAGGGAAATAGGAGCTGAGCCCTGGAGTCCAGCAGCCTCGCCATGCTTTCTGGCCTCCCCTAGGCTGCAGCAAGAGGCCATTCCAAAAAGCAGAGAGGTTGGTTTACTGGGTCAGGTAACACTCCAGGGCATGTGGCTTTGGGGAGATACTGGGTTTCTCTTGCGTGTGCGTTTGCCTTCTCTGCAAGAGACACTGGCAGTGCACTGACCTGTAGCAGGGGGGCTTTCAAACGTTTGGCCTCATGACCCAGCTGAAGAAAATTGTTGATGCCGCAACCTAACGTAATGTGACTGGAGGCGTGGGGCTGAGGAGGGAGCTTTGAAGTGTAGGAGGAGGCTCTGGCTTTGGGGCATCAGGGCTGGGGCAGGAGGAGCTGACCTTGAGTGACACCCGGGCAGCGGCATTGAGGGGGGCTAAGGCAGCTTCCTGCCTCTCCTGGCACCACAGACCATGCTGCCCCCAGAGGCAGCCGGCAGCAGGTTCCCAGCCAATGGGAGTGCGGGGGTAGCGCTCCGGGCAGGGGCAGTGCATGGAGCCCTGTGCACTTCCCCCTCCCTGTCTCACCTAGGAGCCGGGCCTGCTGCCGGCCGTTTCTGAGGCTCAGCACAGTCTGTGGTGCCAGGCAGGGCTGGTCCTAATCAATTGGCAGCCCTGGGCGACCCCTGGGGGAAATTTGTTGAACAAAAAAAACCCAACAAAAAATGACAAAAGTTGTCAAGCAAAAAAAAAAAAGAAAAAAAAGCCGAAATGCGGTCATGGCCCCTTTAATAGCCGTGTGTCCAGCTCTGTCAGCAGCCCCTCGAACATAGTGGCACTGGGCAACCGCCCGGCTTGCCTGCCCCTAAGACCGGCTCTGGCTCCAGGATGGGCAGGGAGCTGCTTTAGCTCCCCCACTGCTCATCTGACCCCCCTGCAGCAAGGAGACCCAGCGCCCGGCATCCCACTCACCAATACTAGGTCGCGAGCCGTCGTTTGAAAACTAGAGCCTGAGCTCGCACATTGACCTCTGGTCTCCTGCGTGGCAGAGCAGGGCATTAAGCACAAGCACTGTGCTGCAGTGGGCTACCAGAGCACGCCCTGCCACCTGCCAGTTTAAATTGGACGCCTGCCCCGAAGGGCGCTAGTGCTCCCTGAGAGGAAGGCAGGTAGACTTGGACCCATGGAATTGCCAGCCTCGAATGTCTCCAGGTTTGCACCTGGCTTTCTGTGGAGGGCAGGGATCTGTGTTCCACACTGGTTCCCACATGTCACCAGTGCACCTTCCCTGCGAAGCCACAGTGAGGCAGCGCAGGACGTCACCCCTAGGTTCATCGTCCCTCGAGCTAACACGGTTTCAAAGACCTCACTGGGTAGCAGTGACAGATGAATGCACACAGGGTGGTCTATCCTTCCATAGATGTTTTTTGTAAGACCTCCTCTCATAGAGACACTTCATTCCACGAGCCTTAAGCAACGATCCACTTTGTGTGCGTTTTGAACATAGTACTGCAGGGGGCTGTCGTATGTTTCATTGTCTGGACAGACTACAGGACAGCAGGAACGTCCTTCAG